ACAGAGAGAGAATAAAACAAGCTTGAATTAACTCGTGTTTTACGAAGAACTAAAAGCCATCGATCATCCGGACTTGATCGCACGTAAACTTGTTACACTGGAATTATTTTAATACCAATATATAATATATAATATATATATTAAGTAATTAACTACTAGTAATAGGTACGTTTGGTAACAGGGAGGAAATTTAGTTAATAATTAGACACTCGTGAGTTCGCGATGGTTGTCCTTTGTGATTAGGAGCCATATCTTTGATTAGTAAATCGCCTTCGTATCAGTATCTCAACTTTTCAGCACTTTAATGTTGCCACGCATCGTCGTTTATAATGTCGTACCACAGCATTAATTAACTAGAGCTGGCTCTAAACCACGCCAGGGATACACGTCAGTTGCTACGTAGTAAACATAGGCCTACATACGTTCTGCGCATCTGTAGGGAAGGGAAATCCTCCGAGCATAATCTGCAGGGACGGACGCATTCCATTCCACATTCGTAGTAACTCAATCGTCAAGCAAATTAGCGGTGATGACGTCATTCAACACATGAGACAATGATTTTTAGCGGGGGAGGGGGCATGACGTAATTTAACCTCACCCCTCACCCCACCCGCCCCCGCGCGTTAGTGTGGAACGCTATTGTCCTAACCAAGGGCTTTGAGAAATAGCAATTTATTTTTTATCGGTTGAGAGATCAGTTTTACAAGCACATAAACACACGCACGCACGCACAGACACACACAACACGCACATACGCTCGCGCGCACGCACACATGCATACACGCACGCACGCACGCACGCACGCACGCACACACACACACACATGTGCTAATTAACAAACTCTATCTAAATTTACTAATTAAACAGGCTAACTAATCGCTACCTTGGTTGGTTATATTAGTGCATTGTGGCTCTATCTGCTAGTAATACTCCCAACTGAAAAAAAAGAAGCCATTATTCCTCCTATTACAAAATTTACTCGCTGAAAATCGTCAGGGGTATTTCCTGGAGAGATGTGCATAGTAAAATCTGCTATAGAAGTATCACTTTGTTCGCAGCATACCGCCACCATCCTTTTCCTATGATAATGTACATAAGAATGGCGCTCGCGTCGCTGGTCAGGTTGCCAACAGGTTGTTCATGCAAGCATAAGCTAATAATGCACGTGGTCTCCTGATTTTTAAACATGGCGATAGACCGCCGCGCACGTGACAATTGTCGCAGACGAAACAAAATTAAACTCGTGTTACGGGCGCACTGTACATGTGTACGTACATCCATGACATCCATGTCTACATCTATGTCTGTGTCTGCATTAATACGCAAGTTTAGACTGAAATGATCGAGACCTTCTTAGATATTAAAAACTTATAGAAATAGTATAAATATATAAAATATAGATTATTAATTATATTTTATATATTTATACTATTACTATAAATTTTTTATATCTAAGAATTGTTATTGCAGTCTAAACTTGCGTATATTAATATATAATATTATAGTATATATTATATTATAGTAATATATATATATATATGTATTATATATATATATATATATATTATATTACTGTGCTTAGAAAGGATCCTATTCGGACCTATCGTATATCATAAACAATGTTTTGACAAACAGACTATTGATATAAAAGATATATAATATCGAATAATGTTACATTGTTGCATTACATTACAATTACATTGTTACATTGTATAAATACGTGCATGCTCGGAGCAAATGCACGTCAAAGCTAAGGCGCGTGAGTGTGCGCGTGTGTTTGCGTGTGCGTGCGTGCGTGAGTTCGTGCGCGTCGGCATGTGTGTGCGTGCTTGCGTGTGTGCGTGCGCGTCGGCGTGTGTGTGCGACCAGAAAGCAACTTGGTGGTTCAGGCGATGTACGACCTGCTGCTTGCGATTGCTAATCAACATGAACATCGTCATGAACATGTATTTGTATTTCTTCATGTACATGGATATTTATGGCGATGGACAGGACTGAGGTTGGATGCTGAGGCAAAGGTAAAATTTTCATCATTAATCATTTTACCATTGTTTCCGGGCATACCAAATTAAACGTGCATCTCTTTTTTGACATTTGTACATGCAAATAATGACCAAACACACACACAGACACATACATGCACATACGTATATATAGGTATATATAACAATAATTTATTTACATCCGTTTACAAGTGTTCATATAATTATATAGGTATAATATATAATAATCATATATCTAGACAGTCATCTATCATATAGGTATTCATAATTTACTACTCTGAATTAAGTTACACATCGCTGAACTGTACATTAACGCCGTTACCAACACGGTGACAGACATAGAATCTTGGTAAATTAAGTACGGTAGAGATATATAAATTGTCACCTTAACAGGACAGCAAGAGAGTGGGGAAGGAAGAGGAAGAGGAAGAGAGAAACACAGAGACAAAGAGGAAGCGAGC